CACACACACACACACACACACACACACACACACACACACACACTTTGCCTTCTCAGTCCTCTCCTGGTACATAGATGAACGATGAGCGTAGTCAGCATCCTGAAGTGCTACCTCTATCATAACATACGAATATGAATGCTAACCTGTCCTTTGATTGCAGCTGAAGGATGTGGTGACTGAACACACACTCTCATGCATACGTATCTAAGCACACCTAGTTTTGTTCATAGCTTTGACCAAACACACACACTCTCTGATTAGTGTCCCCAGTGGATATTAAGGGATTACTGCCGAGCTCTCCGGTGGCTGCGCTCCACACGCCTCAGTTCTTCTTGTCTTGTATCTTTCCCCCATAGAAATGATGTCGAGGTTAAATCAGCTCATGTTAGCACTCGTTTGTTAGCACTGAATGTGTCTGATGTTATTAGTAAAGGAGATTGTACTGATAATGTCGGTGCCTTCCACAGGACACAACACACAGGCCTTCGCTGCTCTTTTACACCTCGCCCTCGTTAGCAACTCTGGAATATACGCTTCACAGCTAATGACCACATGTTGTGCACGTTCAAATCCAAATGTGTGTTTGATTATTTCTGTGGTGTCTGAATGTGCAACTAACACGGCTCATTTCGACTGGTCCCAGCAGCCATACGTCTGAGTGGATCCATAGTGTTTAGATGTTAATCTGGTGTCAAATCTACTAAATGCTAATGTTGACCTGCGTTTAACAGGAAGTCTTTGGATCTTGATAATTGGATGTTCCATTTAATGACAGTAAGTCATCCATGTAAATGTGCCATCATCTCAATACTTAGTGTTGAATATTTGTTCGTGTCACAAATAAACACTCCCAGACTGAGGAGGGCTCTGGATGATTAAAACCTGACGCTCCAGTTCCAGGTTTAAAGTGCAGTCAGTCTCTGGTTAGAAGTTTGAGGTTGTTCTTCATAAACTGGAAATCTTCCATTGTTAGATCCCTGTGAGGGAGACTGAAGAAGTTTGTTTCAACACATTGTCCAAGTTTAAATAAAACTTCAAACTGTGGCTAAAACAGGAAAAATGCATTTTTCTGACTAGCAAAACTTGACTGAAGCGGGTCTTTGTCACTTTATCAGATGCTCCCAAAATGTTTTGTATTTATTTTCTGGATTTAATATGAATAAAGATAACCTATGAAAGGAAAATGTCTTCTGCTGTGGTGGTTTGTAGCTTCATAACTGGGACCGTGTTTGCTTGAAAGCATGAAATGCTGTTTCCATATTAACCTCCCAGGACCTGGCGTCCACATATGTGCACATCACATTTTGGGACGTCGAGACCAAAATACGTAATTTTTCTCTACAAGAGCCTGATATCCACCTACGAGGACATCATGCTGCCACTGTTCTACCAAAGTTTGAAACAAATGTCCTCATATGTGGATCTCATTATTTTAGGTTAAAAAAAAATTGGTAATTCTTTGTTTTTACATTCTTTTGGTCCCAATTAACCCAAATAGCAAAGAAAAATTATAAATGCTGCCATGAAAGAGTTCATGTCTTAGGAGGTTAATGTAGTAATATTACACTTAATGTCATTACTGTTTTATCTAAGTGGACTGGATGAAACCAAATGAGTCCGGACATATTGTTGAAATATCTGTAACTACAATCATATACTGTATTTAAAGGATGGAATATTGATGATGTCACCCATCGGTTTGTACGATGCTGCGAACTTTAAGTAGACATACAGATACTAGTGTTAAAAATAGTCCAGTAAAAGCTGAAGCACTGATTCAACCTGATAAAGTACAGGCTCTGAAATGCACCTGTGTGCAAAGCTAGCTGAACCTTGTGCTATTTTATGTAATAATAAAATAATATCAGTAGATATGAAAGCAAACTTTATTTCACTCAAATTTTTAATTCTAATAAAGGTACTTTGAATGAGTTAAGTCGAACATGAGCAGAAAAATGGAAAATCGCTCTGCTGTCTGACGCCTACATCGCAGACCTGAACGGAAATAAAGGGAAGAGGTCAAAGTGGATTCAGCAGGTGGGAACCCTAAAATCAGTTGATTTTCTTAATGTGCAAGCTGTGATCAGCTGATTTGGGCTACTACTGCTCTGAGGGTCACTGCTGTTTGTGGATTTACACAACTGAAATGAACAAGATGTCAGCAGATGTTTCCTGAGGCGTCCTGGCTGGTTTCCATCCTCTACACGATGTTTATGCTGTCTTTATATTAGACAGAATAACGTTGGTCAGTATCATCAGCTTAACTTCACTTACACTTGATGTAACCTCACTCTGACCATGAAACCACTGTGCACCAGTCACACACTGCTCTTTACTTTAAACCCATGACAGTACAGAAAGTAACCTCTTTATCCTGCACTAACCTGCAGAGGACTTTCATGTTACCTTTGAATAGTCTCAGTTTGATTTGCTCCAGTTTGAGAATATGTCACATGTCACCCAATATCTGATTTAAAAACACGAGGACTTACATGTAAGCTTTAAATTTCCACTGAACAGTCCTTAAATCTAACCTCTTCTTCCTCTGCCCGTCTTTCTTTCTCCATCTCTGAGTGAAGTTAGCTCTCCTTCTTTTCTCTCCCTCTGAAATAGAGCAGCTGGACCTTCAGCTAGCATCACACTGTGACAAACTGCACACAAACTGTTTGTGTGTTTGGTGATGTTTCTTGTGCTGATAGAAAAGTTGCATTTGAATTGACCTGATACTCAAAAACATCACTCCCTTTATGATCACTCCTCTTTTGTAGCGCTAGCTACACTGATGAGTATCTGCAGGGTCAGTTAGGGCTCATCCAAGACGCTTCTTCATGAGGAAGTTGCACTGCTTGCAACCATTCGACAGGCCTCTCCTGCTTTGTCTACTTTGCTTGGGAGCCATAATTTTACATCATAAAACCACATTGTAATAAACTAGATGTGAAATTAGCAACTGAAAGTTTTTAGGAAAGTGTTTACTAAGGTGATTAAAAACAAAATACTCATGATCATTTTCTCCACAGACTTCTATACAACTGCATGCGATTCTGCAACTATTCTGCTGGCCATTACCAAAAGTGCCTGTTTAAGGGGTTTCAACATGTTGGCTTCACTTTTCAGACTCTGGGGTAAAACAGCTTCATTGAAGCAGGGGGTGAATTGAGGTATTGAGGTAATTCTCAGTATTTCTTCCATCACACCTGCATACAGCTGCTGCTAAATGGAAGGTGCATCCAGAGCATCAAGAAATCCCCCTTGAAGCCTGAGGCCATTGTGTTGCCCTTCTTCTTCCTCCAGTACTCTGAGAGAACAGTTAGCTAGAGGTTGGGGAAGTCCATCCATCCATCCATTCGCTTCCGCTTATCCTTTTCAGGGGCGCTGGAGCCTATCCCAGCTGTCATAGGGCGAGAGGCGGGGTACACCCCGGAAAGGTCGCCAGTCTGTCGCAGGGCGGTTGGAGAAGTAAGATCTGTAAATCAATGCACACTTCAAACATATGTGAACAGTGAAATATGAAGTTAAATACAACTTGTTTTTTGTTGTCATATTTGATCTTTATTAACGCTGACAGACAGGTATTGGTTCAGACAAACATGGTGACATCAACTGAAAACAGAACCAGGCAGAGAAGGAAATCTGTTTCAGACCCGAGACGCACTCCGAGGTCAGATTGTCCCGCTCTCATCATTTGGCACCGCATGACTGTTAGTCTTTCAAACCACACGACTTCACTGTCTAATTTCAAGCCAAGGACTAATAGTTTTGTAAAGAAAAGGACAGAACTGCTCCAAAGTGCGGTAAATTTTGGCGATGCATGAAAATAGAAAAAACAAAGAAACAAAAAACAAATTGCAAGGATTCTCATAGTGCTTCTGTTTCTTGTAATTTCACCCCCCACCCCACCACCATTTTTCTTCCAGTTTCTTAAAAGTTGCTGTGTGACACGCGTGATGTGAGCACAAGATTGCATCTGCTCTACATAGCAAGCATCTGTTCTTCTAGTTCTATAGAGGCTGGGTGTAAAGTGTTTAAGGATTGGCTACCAGTGGTTACAGCGCAGAACATGCCAGAGTTTTTAAGCTTTTCACCTTGAACATCAAAAACGGTCATTATGCAAACACAATCAGAAGCAACTTGACTTTGGGTCCTAGCATTTCAGTGCAATTTGGACTGAGGCTCATCAACCAAGGCGATCTGAAGGCAGAGATAACAGGAAGTACATGTGCAAATATCCATCCATCCAGTATAACTTATCAAGGTCTGAACTGCAGGGTCAGCAGTTCAAGCAGAAGTACCTACACCTCCATCTCTCAACCATCTCCATCTTTTCAGGAGGGTCACTGAGGTGTTCCAATGGCAGCCAAGAGACGCAATCTCTCCAGTTCATCCAGAGTCTCCTCCTTTCCTCTTACAGATAAGTCATCTTATCTGTAAGAGGAGACCAGACGCCCATCGGAGGAAGCTGATGCTTGTATCCACTATCTCAATCTTTAGGTCACTGCCCACAGCTTGAGGTCACAGGTGATGGGGATAGATCCAACCAGTAAATTGACAACTTTGCTCCACGCTCAGCTTTCTCTTCACAGCAATAAGCTGGTACTACATCTGCATTACTGCAGACCCTTCACCAATCAATCTGTTAATCTCTGGCTCCACTTCTCCAGTCTTGAACAAGAACCGGTGATACCCAAGGCAGGACCTCATCCCCAATCAGGGGCAGGGCAATTCTCATCCTCGCAGAAAAGCACAACATTGTAAGCTAGAGGTTAACCACTTGACAAAGCCTAAAAGGACCACGTCACTTGTGAATTCCCAACGCCACCAAACCAAAACCAACACGGCCTTTAGCTACATCTAGAATATGTTGTCCATAAAGGACATGAACAGATGGAGAGGCTAACTGTCTGACTTTCGCAAACAGATCTAATTTGGACTAACCTGAGACACTTGTGAATGACCTATTAAGCAGTTTCTGTGTACTGGCTACTTAACACTGATTATAACCTCCCCCAACAACAACAATCAGTTATGACTCCTTGAAATGTACAAAGTGATTAGACAAGAACCGTAATCCTTTACCTACAAGCAAGGCACTGAACCCTCTCATTTCAGAGGCCGCCTGTTGACGAAAATGGTTTTGAAGGTCATTCCCCGAAATATGAACTGGGGCAAATGATGAGTTTATTATCAAAAATCAATCTGTAACAGCTCTTACATGGCGTAGTGCTACAATCAGTCAGTCTACCAATATGGCAGTTTGTCTGTAATCACTGGTATTATCTTTAAACTGATGAGGACAAGCTAATTTTGTTTTTTCCAACATAGACACAGCGGATGGGGCGGGAAGGGTAACAAATGACAGTCAGCTACAGTTAGCAAACATCGGAAGGCTTTTTAGAGGCAAAAGCAGCAGGTTAACTTATAGGTCATAAAAAGGCAAGCTGATCACTTCCTGTGTTTAGACATTAAAACCCAAAGTGACCAGGGTTCGATTTGGTGATACAACAGCTTTTGTACAGCTCACACTGTTTCAACACCGAGATGAAACTGTAATAAAAAATACTTAAGAAATAAAAATACTCAAGTGAGTTGCTTATGGCTGATTTTCATTCCTTTAAAACAAAAAATGCTCTTTCACCTTTGCTTCCATCTATTAAGACAACACTTTAAAACATACTGCAGGTTTGGAACAAATACTTGGTGTCTTTTTAGCAAAAGAAGAATTCTTACATGAAAATAATCATACATTGTGATTTTGGAGTTACTCCTCCATGTTCATCAGCCAAACAGTACAAACACAAAAGATTATTTTCTGGTGGTTGAATGTCCTCATATTCCTGTTTGTTTCCACGTCCCCCGACAGTTCTCAAACAGAAACGTGCAAAAAGACTTAAAACTCTGCCCCCATGTCTCTCTAGATATCTGTTAATGCACAAATACTGTAGGTCAAAGGTGAAGCACAGATTCAGATCAGTTTCAGCTCCAACAGAGTGGGTGTGAAGAACAAAGCCAGGCTGAGGCTGAAGGCAGGGGCAGATTGGTCTTAGCAAAACAAGCTTTTTTTTTTTTTTTTTAAGCAAATACCTCAGGAAAACATGCTTCTACCTAGCAAGTAAGCTTGGAAATGCAACTTTTCATTTTCAAGCAGATAGCAGCTTTATCTAAATAGTCGTGATTTGTCAAAATTATTTTGGGTTTCAAAGAAACGACGATACGTTTTCAATGTAGCCATGCTATAAGCTTTGTGATGCTATACTCAGGCACAGCAGTGCTTCGAAATGCTAACACTGGCATACGAGCGTGATCGCAGGCCCAGCAGGGTAATGTTGAGCAGGCTTACCGTGTTCGTGAAATCCATTCAACACGTTAGCATGCTAACATTAGTGGAATTTAGAACCTTAATATTTGATGAATTAACATTTATAACCGGCTGTTGGTGCAAAAGGGAAACTCGGTATGCTTCCTCTGGGCACTATGAACATCGGTACAATGGGCTTGAAGATAATGAGAGCAAAGTTGCAATGCAAATGGTACCATTCTCAGAACCAGGGTGCTAGTGTGGCTAAGGTTTGGGAAAAAGCTGTAGAGATTGGTTTTAACTTGTCAACCTCAAAACTGCTCCATTCATTATGAGTTAAGCTTAAGTAGCCAAATTAGATCTCGGGATTGTACTCCACTTGTGGTTTTTCAAATAATGTGAGCTAATCAGAGCTTGCCAGCAAGCTCTACTGTCTTTACTCTCTCTACTATCTTGATTAACACAGGCGCTCATAACAACAGTTACCACGGGGAATGACAGCAGCAAAATACATAATCTACCAGTTCAGAATTTCGTTTCACATGTAAAGGCCATCTTTCAGAGCACCATTTTGCCATTCACATGAATACAAGTTTCATATTTGAAACGGTCCACATTATAATTTTCACATTATTTTTTATAAACATAGAGCGTACAGTAACCAGTATCACAGGTTCAATCCTTGTCTAATTAGTCTATTCTCAGCAAATCAACCTTTTGATTCTGCTAATCTTAAAAAAGTTGCAACTCATTACATTGATCTGACCAAAGAGGAGTTTGGGGAAAAGAAAAGAAAAAACTCATATTCAGGTAGATGGAGTTGACACATTGGTTACTGAATTCCTGAAGAAACACCTGACCTTTAATGGCTATAATAACACTTTTAAATTCAACCAGTTCAACTACGCCAGGCATGTATCGCTAACTTAAATTCATTTTCTATAGGTATAATACTGGCACTGGGACCCTCTACTTTTCTCCTAATGTAAGATATGTGGAGTGTGTTTACATGCACACAGTTTTCTGAATAACCCCGATGCTCATATCCATGTGACGGTCTTGTTACACAAACACTTCAGTGGCTACACTATCCTGTTATGCTAGCAGGCTTCACTAGCTAGTGAGGTGTTACTAGCTAGTGAGAATTGATAAATACTGATACAAATATCAATATAAAACAGAACTGGCAAAGACTGTGGCATCCTTGATAGTTCTAGTTTGTGATTTTGGGAAGTTAAATTAACATATTGCCAGCTAACAACTACTACTGTCAGTCGACACTTATAGCCTAACAAGCTAACCGACAGCCAAATGACATTAGCCAATACAGAACCACGGAGAAATGTCACTAACTTAGAACTAGTGACATTTGACTAGTCAGTATGTAATGTTCAAACGAAAGAAACTATTAAACTATTACAATAACACTTACAGAAACAGAAACCACTTCATAAAGGTAACTTTTAGCTAGTAAAGTTTAAGATTTTATGGTTTTTTTTTAATGTTCAAATAAAATCTAATATTTGAGTGTCCAGTGTTTCACTATACTCCGTTTATATCATGTTAGTCAATTTATGATCTGGAAATTTAAGTCAGCCAATGAAGAAAAACAAAAACTGGGGGATCAATTGAAATGTTTTCAGTAGTAGTTTCCACTTACTTTTTATACTTGCTAGTTTTGGAAGAGAATTCGTGTGATAGTTCTGGGGGAAAAAACTGAAGTTAAATTCAAAGTTGGTTTTTTAGGGAGTCTTGGTGCATGCTCAATCATCCAGGTAAGTAAATCCCAAAAGGCTGACTCTGTTCACCTGTTTTTAGGGACAAAAAAAAAAAAGGCCCCCGTGGCTATATTAGTCTTCCATACTAATAAAATAATAATAATAATTAAAATGACAATTACATTTCATATGAGTCTTTAGTTAGGTATATAATTGCTTGGAAAAGTTTTACTGCGCAATATAGGAACATTATTATTGATGGGGGATATTAGTGGCAGTAATAATAGTAGACTCCAATCTAAAAGTTAGTAATAATTGGACCTGCTTTTGGACAAATTATGAATTTATCTTTTTAGTGAAGTATATTGTTATAGGATTTTAAATGAGCAAATTCTCTAATCTTAGTGCTGTTTTCCACTTTGCATTTGACCTCAATTGCCAATTCAATGAATCAGTTTCTATCTGTAGTCATTCTCTGCTTCCATGACATGTTTGGACGATAGATTTTTTAAATATTTTATGTATATGGTAGTAGCTAAGAGTGCGAGCTAAGAGGATATTCTAAAACGAGAAAGGAAGCCTTCCTACACGTGAGAATATAGTGCACGGCTGACCTGAAAGCAGGTTTGTGTGCATGTAAACCCACAGAGTATATAGTAAACACCAACAGATATACACAATTAGAAGTTCTACAAGCACAAATTAGACTATTCACACCCTGTTTGCCATTGATGCTGAGAGAAAAGAGATGAAACAGACTGAGGACTACTGAACCATTCCCTCCACAGTAAGGCGTCACCGCCTCACTCTTAGATTCCAGATCCATCTAATTGCTTAAGCCACTTTAACACTTTTAAATAAATGTATAGAATATATACAAACATTACGCCGCGTAGTTCAGACCTGAAACGCACACTTCTTCTTTACTAATACCACCGTTTGCAGAGAGTTAGGTCAGAAAAAAGAAAGCAAAAAGCTGGGCTTTGACAGTTTTGAAACACAGAGGCCATCTTGCTCCATAGTTTTTATTACTTCGCTAATGGGCGGTGCGGTGGTCATCAGAGTTTTGTCGAGTCTTACTACCGAGGTTCCACTTCTTGAAAGGTGTCGTGTCTCTAAAAATAAGGTCACCGCTTCTCCTGGTAGTTTCAGATGAAAACGAGCATCGCCACGGGCAGAGAACACGCTCGTCCTCTTCTCTCAAAGGTCGTATAACAGCAGTCCTTTTGTCCCTTTTGCTCTGCTTCATTCCCTCTGTCGCTCTATAAAGCACTTTGTGACGAGCCTGGTTATTAAAAGCGCTTTTTGTTTTTAATAAATCGGATTTATTCACAGAACCTGGGTAAGATGCTGCTAAAGAGAGGAGAAAACACATCGTCTACAAACTGAGTTGCTGAATATGGTTTCCAGGTTGAATGCCAAGCCAGTTGCCAGGAAGACACAAAAGGAGGATTCTGGATATGACAGAAGGTGCATTCTGGGATTTGTTGTTGACTGACGGAGCACTAAGCCATTGGCAGATGTCACATGAGAGGTTGAGTCTTTCCTTCTCCACGGTCCTCTCTTCTACTTGCTGGGATTTTTTCCCTCCTCTGCTACCTGTCCGTTGCAGTGAATGGTTGATTGGAATAAATTACAGCCCCCCTGCGGTAGGATGATGGGGGAGCTCCTCCTCCTTCAGTCGCAGACAGGAGGCAGGAAGTAGCAGCAGTCTAGGAGGGATTGGGGGTCTTCAAGGCATCCACTTTGATCTCCAAGTCTGTAATCTGTGGAAAACATAGTGGATGATAACTTCAAGAAATATAACGTTAAACCTTTTATGAAAAGTGTTAAAGAAACACTTAATTGAAGCAGAGCATCAAGTGAACAAAACCTGTGGGACGATAATCTGCAGCTTGATCATTTCCCTCTGTAGCAGCATAGACTGAGATCAGACGTGTTCCTTTAACTTGTTTGAGCAGTGTACTAAAACATAATGCAGGGACACTGCCATCAAGATGTGACCCTCCTTTGCCTTTCCTGCTCAGGAAAAGCTCTGCTACCTGACAGTGAGAGATTCAGGGGAGTCCACTGCAAACCTTTTCCTGCAGGTTGTCTGTCTCCTCTTTGTGTGTTGCCTCGCTCTCCTCTTGTGCCCGACGCTGAGCAGTCTCTTTCTTCAGGTACTCGATCTCCCTAAAATGCACACACACACACACACACACACACACACACACACACGCACACACACACACACACACACACATTGGAGTGGTGGTGTTTTTTACTCCTTTTATCTTTTTATTCTGTCCCTCCTTCTCCTTCCTTACTTCTGCTGGTATTCTTTGATCAGCCTCTTGGCTTTGCTGTATTTCCTCTCCAGGGTTTGATACTGAGCCTGAGTTTCCTTCAGGTGTTCATCCACAGCCTGAAAAGACAAATACTCGCTGTGAGTAAATGATAACAAAACTAGTTTTAGGGTGGCAGTGAGCTCATTTTTTTAGTTTTTAAGGGATGAGGGAAAAAAAGAAACACTTGATTCACTCGTGCCTTTTTGAAGTTTAGGTTTACTATCTTACCTTACATAGAGACTGTGCCTCCATCCAGTAGCCCTCAAGTTTTTCCATCCTCTCTTTACTGTCCCGGATATTTTGCTCCAACTGAGCACGCTCCATCCGCCAACGCAACTTATCCTGCTCTGCGTGAGCCAGCTGGGGGCGGGGTGGGGGTCAGTGTGGGAGGAGGAGGTGGTATGTGGGAGGCATTAAGTCATCACAGAGCCAAAAAGAACTGGTGTTATGCATGTGTACATTCTCTTCTGCAGTGCAACCTGAATGTGCCGTTGTTTTGAGGGTTTTTTGCCTGCATGTGTATAAGTGTGTGTTAAACAGGCTCACCTTCCTCTTGAGCAGCTGGATCTCAGCCTGGGTTACTGCATGTTTAATCTGGAGCTGCAGACAGAGGGAGAAACAATCTGATTTCTTTAACAAACAAATAAACATAACAAAAATCAAGCTAGGTAAAACTGTAAACAAGAATAAAATAATGACATTAACATCCAAATCATTTATATCACATGTACCTCTTTGAACTTGTGGGCCAGTTTCTCTGGGTCCAGCTCCACAGGGGACAGCATTTCCTGGTTTTCTGCCAGATCGAAAACCTCTATCGAGTTCGGAAACATCGGACTCATCTCCTCCTCCTCGTCTGTCGCATATTCACCTGTCTGCAGGTAAACACACGCGCAACAAATACAGTTACATTTGGTAATAGTTGTGATATTTTATACATATTGTATGAGTAGGTTTTACAGGTATAAGGTTACATAGCAGACCAATGATTGCATCCGATATGGAGCTGGAGTAGCTGGTTAGTATAGATCAGGGGTCCCCAATCCCAGTCCACCAGGGCCGGTGTCCCTGCAGGTTTTAGATGTGTCCTTGATCCAACACAGCTGATTTAAATGGATAAATGACCTCCTCAACATGTCCTGAAGTTCTCCAGAGGCCTGGGAATGAACTAATCATGTGATTCAGGTGTGTTGCCCCAGGGTGAGATCTAAAACCTGCAGGACACCGGCCCTCGTGGACTGGGATTGGGGACCCCTGGTATAGATGGTATAAAAGACTGATTTCCAGGTTTGTGCTTTATTAGTTTCTAGTCCATCTCTATCTTGGTTTGAAAGGAAAAACAAAACAACAACAACAAAAACACCAGAAAGAGGAGGGTTGGGTCTGAACCCGCCGGCTCACTGCCGGACGCTTGTCAATCTCCAGGTTTTTAGCCAAAGAGCAAATCAACGGAAAATCCAATGGAAAAATAGTTTTACCAAAATAGACTAAATGTGTTATTCAGTATGACCCTAAACAAGTAGCTAACCAGGAAACGGTCTGCAGTCAGGTCAGAAAGCCTTTTCCATGCTCCCAAAATCTTTTTGCAATCAGAGCAATCGGCATCTGGTGGCGTTCAGATCTAATGCAGGCTTACAGCACCACCACATTTAGTTGGTTTTTCAATGCTCATGTTTGATACACTATTCACCGTCCCTTTGGGTTTAGGAGTTCAGTTGCGATCGTTTGAAGTCAAAAGTCCATTTGGTAAGTTTTGGTCATTCCAAGAGTCAAAAAGGACTCTTGGCTAGGCTAAGCTCATGCATGTGGTTTCACAGTTTGGTGGCTTATACTCTTTAAGCTAGTTAGCTTAAAACCGTCTTATGCTACTTAGTGCAAAGCCAGGTTGCTTTGGTAGACAAAAGGTATCTCAGTCACCTACCAACATCTCCAAAGGTAACCGTTACAAAAAAACTCTAAACATGATTAGTGAATTTTATTTTTTATTTATTTTTTCAAACAGAACTTAGTCATTTGTTAGATGTTAGCTAGTTGCTGGCATTAGCTTTACACTCATAGCACTGTGTGGTACATTTGAGTCGTCTGTCTCTTCATAATCTAATTGGCAGGAGTACCTGTCATATAAAATGATATGAATGGCAACTAGGTCAAGTATGCAGTCACAAATTAAGTGAAAGAAACGATCTGGTCAGTGGTTTGACAGTTCAGACTCATTCCCTTGGAACAAAATGCAGCCAGCACATCGTCTTCCACTAAAAGCATTCACACAATCGATAACAGCCTGCTGATCATTCGTCTTATTCTTCTCCTTTGTGTTACAAAGTAAATTAGCCTCACATTAGCCCGTGTCCAGCATGTTTTCTTCCAGGCTAACAAACGCATTAACTAAAATGTATTACTTAATACATGATTGCTTTGCACAATGACTGCACCCTGTCTTCCTCTCTGCTTACTCTTCCTACTCGGACACAATTTGAGGTAAATATTGTAAAGTAACTGTATTTATTACAAGACTGCAGCAAACCAGAGGCACGCTGCCGTCCATATCAACATCCTCTGATAACTGCAGCTGTGCTCTGTGGCTTCTCTGGCTAACCAAACCAAAGTACACAAGCCTTGAGTTGACATTTGCCCCCAGGCATGAAATCAGAGCTCTTTCATTTTAGGCTGTAGAGTGATGAAATGTTAGGAGTCTATCATTAGAATCCTGAATCGATTTTTAAATGTAAATTTATTTTGCCCGACATGCCAGAATCTCAGGTTAAACCTCACAAAACTTCGACAACAACCAAACAGCAAACCAGAGCAGGTACACGCATTCAGCACAAAGACGTAAACACAACGCGCCGACGCATCACAGATGTCTGCTTTCTCAGCCGTCAGCGCTCAGATTCTGATGCGTCGGCGGGTCCGTGCTTTGTGTTTACGTCTTTTTTGCGCTAGACTCCGAAGCTGCAGGTTTCAATACTCTACAACCAAAAACGACTGAAGATCAAACTAAGCTTCACATCATCATCGTCATGAATTTCCTCTTTTGCTGTTTTGCTTCCACCACGATAAAAATCACACTTCATGCACAGCTCTCTCGCTCTACTGTTGTGTACAGCGCTGTCTGCTGCTGGTTTTATTTTTTTAAATTTAACTGATTTCTGACAAGAAAGTCTAATTTCTGCTGTTCAATACTGAAGAAATGTAAACTTTTTAAAATGATGTGAAATTGCAAAATGCTCAGCTGTGTCTCTAATTAATCCTCTGCTTCACTTCAGCAGCATCAGGTGATGTTTATATGTTGATTCGTGCTACTGCACAATATTTTTAAGGTTCTCTGCTATAAAAACCCAAAAACATGTTTTTCTGTGTTTTATGCTCAGTTACTTTGACACTAAAGCGTCTGCTGTGATGCTCACACCTTTGACAAAGTCTCAGCTTTCTTTTTATAGCTATAAAAATATGGATATGTGCCGATAAATGATCAGAATTATAATATTTCTGACTGTCTGAGGCAAAATTTCCCCGATTCGAATCGAATCAGGACCTTGTGAATCGGAATTGAGACGATTCTAGAAATCAGTGACGATACCCGGCCTACAAGCCACACTCTGTCCCATGAGCCATGTGTAGGAAACAGCCTGGTCCCACTGTTTTAATTATGAAACCTGACCCTAGAAACTAGGAATTTAATGATTTCTGTATTGATGCAGTTTCTCTCTCTGACCAGAAGGTGGAGATGCTGGACTGAGTTTGAAATGGCATGTGGTGGAGCACAGACAGGCATTTTCCCATGCACACATGTTGGATTTCCTGTGGCTAACAACCACTAACACCATCAAAAGGCTTGTGAAAATGAATTTAATGACTACATGCAGGATATCTTTGTGAAGTAGAGCAATGTTGCCTGCCAAATGCAGGCCAAAGTGCGTTTGTATTCTGTGTTTACTGACTAAAAACAACGACCTTTTCATTATTTTTGACTATTTCAAAGGACAAAGGAGGTGCAGTGAGGAGAACTGACTGTGTTTGAGCATTCACTGTGTTTATCACCCTCTCAAGCTGAGAGCGCTGCTGCTGCAATGTGTCACATGGCATGTGTCAAGAACCGCCCCTCAGCAGCGCATCAACAGGAAGACCACACGCAGGGCAGGACAATGAAATGTCACGGGGGAGTTGCCTACTGAGCTATGTCTGCGCGGCGTGCACCCAGCCAACGTTGGTGTGGTAGCTGTGCCTCGAAAACGATATCAGTGGCTGTTCTTTTCCCTCCCACACGACAGAGAGGTGTAGCATGTACCTCCTCATCATCATCCATGTACTGTTTGTATCTCTGCTCCATCATCTCTCTCTGCCACCTCTCCTGTTCCAGAGTCTGCTGGATCAGCTGAGCCACTTCACTCTGTTCCCCCGGCTTCTCCCGGCCAATCACAAACCTAGAAAACAAAACCAAAAACTTAGGATTTGTCATTCGCAAGAAAAGGAAACAATGAAACATTTTACACAAACTGCATATGTGGAAAACATGAAAAAATTCACTGTATCAACATCAAACCTGAAAAACTCCAGAGCTTCAAAACACACCAACTAAAAAAAAAAAGTAATAATATGCTATTTATACCACTAATGGACAAAAAGAGCTTCCATAATGTGAAATGTGTTTCAAAAATGGAGATGTGGGGACCACACGTTGGAGTGTTACTCTACCTGTGGGGACCAGCAGCCCTTATGGGGACAAAATGTGGTTTTAGCGTCACGATTGCAATGAGGTTATGTTAGGATTAGACACTCATTCTTGATGGTTAGGGGAAGCAGCTACAGGAAGCATTATGTCCTCACAAAGATATGAAAACACAACTGTGTGCGTGTTTAGAGTGAGTGCGACACAGACCTGACTTTGCCGGTGGTATTGCGGAGGACAGTGGCAGCAAAGCTCTGAGTAACACCAACCAGGCTGGTCCCATCAACCTCCACTATGAGGTCATTCACCTGGATCCTACAGACACAAAGAGAACACTGTATGCAGAGCGATGTTTGGAGAAGACCAAGGTCGCTCAGTGAACACACCTCTCACATGCAACCACAAATGTAACTATGAGTGTCTTTGACCAGACAGGCCTGTGGACTAGCACTGGCTCCATGTAACATCCTAGCCTGTGGCATTTTATGCTTTTGCCTGTTTATTTTAAACTGGTGTCTCTAACAAAGAGCTTTAAAAACTTGCACTCACACTAATGAGAAGAAGGTAACAGTAGTGAGCAACTATCAGCTAAAGAATCAAGTTTGCAAAGAAATACATTTAAGGCAAAAGTGTACATTTAGCTAATAATCAATAATCATGCCTGCTGTCCAAAGAAAAATAGTGTTAAGCCTACAAAAAAGGGCCAACTATTGCTTTTTGATAAAGCACATAGTTAGTGTTGGATCATGTGACCTTGACTCGTCCCTTATGCTGCATTAGGTCTAGGCCGCCCCTCCCTGAGCCTGGTTCTGCTGGAGGTTTCTTCCTGTTCAAAGGGAGTTTTTCCTTCCCACTGTCTCCTAGAGGTCATATGATTGTTGGGTTTTCTCTGTTCCCTTTGATTTACTGCAGGCTCTTTACCTTACGATATAAAGCACCTTGAGACAGCTGTTGCTGTGATTTCGAGCTATATAAATAAAACTGAAAGAATGAAAAATGCATGTCGGGGCAGGCAGGTTGAAGAAGGTACCTGCCGTCTCTCTGCGCAGCTCCGCCCTCAGTGACCGTCTTAACAAAGATCCCCAGCTTCTCCAGGCCCATATCAGCTCCTGCACCCATACCAATGATACTGATACCGAGGCCGTCACTGTCTGAAAGACACACAGACAACAGAGCCATATCTCAGTGCTGAAAACAGAAATACATCATTACTGTTAATTAGAATCCTGTCATATTTATTTTGCTATCATAATAACTAATCATATTATAGAGTGGCAGGGAAAAGCATGTGGGATTTATCCACATTCAAGCTATTAAATATTAGTGAAATTATAGCTATTATACAGTGCTGAGAGCAGCCGTCACGCATGGTTGCTGGTTCAAATCCATTACCTTCAGAGTTACTGGCTACTAATTAGGCCAATCTGTGCTAAATTTAATCCCATAAGGGGATAATGGAGCTGTTAGAGCGACAGTGTATGTCCACTAACTGCAGCCTCTTGTGTGAGTGTGTACAGTTACATAAGAGGCTTGACTGAGTGACTCTCGGTGACATGTAAGACGCATGCAAACCTTTCTCCAGCTCGACGGGAAACAGGTCCAACTTTTCGACCCTCTTCTCCAGCTCGTACTCAGCTGACGCTGCCATGGGGTCAACGTCATCATTACGTCGGTCGTAATCTTCATTAGAGTAGGTGGTAAAGACCTATGCAGAGGGCAAACGATCAGATAGCTAATCCAAATGCATCTAACTGAGAGGACTAAGTGTAAAAACAGAGGCACTCGGAAAGTTCCCTGAGGAACTCCTTCATGAAAGCCTCATAAGCTCACAGTGACTGGTGAAGGTTTGATGCTGATGTGCTACACACGTCTCTTTGCATGTTCAGGTATATGTCCCAACCATTTTTCATACAAAAATTGAAATATTTAACCTTAAACATCATCAATCAAACTGTATCTGCCATTTGAAAAAGGTCTTTTTCACTCAACTGTTTGGGGATATTTTGCTCACGTTGTAGACAAGAACGAAGATGGCTACGACGTTAGCAACACCTGTTCAACCTCTTGTTAAACAGAATATCTAATCAGGAACTTTGTGCACTGAGGTATGGTTAAGAAGACCAAGCATAAGACTGGAGATTTTCTTTCTCTCCAATTATTCTTCTTTGGACAGGAGCTGTAGAGAATAGAAAGGAAACAAGGGAAGCACAAAGAAGCTGTAGCTGTGCCCAAAAGAAAAGAGTCTGAACATATTGTTGTTGACAGGTTGGTATGAGTATTTCACAAACTGCTGTTCAGACAACACAACACTGGATTTCCCCACACCACCATCTGCAGGGTTTACAGTTGATATCCAGTGAGCAGCAGTTCTCTGGGGAAACACTTTACTGTCTACTCTTCACTGCAAGGCTGTCAAATAAAGGTTAAAAAAGCTTATTTTTAACATGTTGCCTTGTGTGATGAGTCTCATTTTCTCTTACTCTCAGAAGTCAGACTTTGCCATAAACAGCATCAAAGCATGGACCCACTGTATGCCTTGTATCAGTGGATAAGGCCACTGGTGGTGTAATGGTGTGAGGAATATTTTAATGGTACATTTTGGGCCCGTGAGAACCAACTGAGCATCATTTTAACACCACAGCAGTATTGTTATTGACCATGTGCATCCCTTTATGACCACAGCGTATCCATATTCCAACAGGATATTGTCCCATGTCACAAAACTCAAATCATCTCACACCAACACACTGCACTCAAATGGCCTGTAGGTCGTAAATCAATAGAGCACCTTTGGATGTGTAGGCAACAAATCTGCAGCAACTGTGTGATGCTGTCACGTCGATATGAACTACAGTCTCTGAGGAATGTTTCCAGCACCTTGTTGAATCTATGCAATGGATAATTAAGGAAGTTATGAAGGGAAAAGTGGTTCATCCTGTAAGGTGCACCTAATTTAATATTTTAGACACCTCTTAGTTGCAAAACAATTGATTAATTAATTAAAAATCACAAATTAAAGCTCAGAAATGATCATAATGTGAAAGAATGTATATACTTAGTGTGTATACTATTATTCTTGTATTATTATTGGATTATACATATGTCTCATCATACAGCAACATTTGAGGCCACTTAAAGTTGTTCTTCCCGTCCACACAGTGAATAAGCTGTACATGCATTTACCTCTGGCTTCATCTTGATCAACTCCTAAGAGAAACTTAAAGCTCTCCAATGGGAGCAGACGAGAACGGTGAGAGTCAATCAAAAGGTGCAAGGACACACACCAGAACTAATGAGCTGAGGGGAGCTGGAGAGCCTCATAATAAACCTCCGTCTCAACACTTTTCCCATCTCCAACTCTGATCCAGTGCTGCTTTGAAAAAGGTGCAGCTTTAGCTCTTTTTATTCTAGAGCCATAAGGTTACAAACACTGCACACAGACCAGGACATGCAGGAGGACGCTGGGTCTCGCTGGCTTGGTTTTGACAGGTAGCATGTTTGCATGCTAGGGAAGTACGCTTCTACATACTTCCCTTGTTTTTAACTGATGCATTAGATCTTCACTGCACATCATTAGCCTGCGATACTGGGCGAAGCATCCAGAAATATTATCTCACAATAACCATTTACATCTATTGTGGCTTTAGACACAGTCCGTACACTCTCACTGTACTGTGCTCCATATCTTTCTACTGAAGCCCATCCAAACCACCCCACACCCCCCCTGCTAAAAAAGGTCAGCAGCATCTGTCTCCCTGGTGACCACCTCTGTGATCACGTGGCTTCATTTCCATGGCAACCTCAGGCTTGCCCAGCAGGATTTTGGCACTGATATGCTCTGTCCCTGTCTGGTAGATATGCTAATATGTGTGTGTGTGTGTGTGTACACACAGACCCATAGGCCTTTATGTAACAGTATTATTACATTCCCTCGAGCGTAGGAGGTACACACACAAATACTGTGACACAAACAGGGTCGGAGGGCGGGATTGTAAGACTGCTTCCTGTTGTCACGCTTCCTTCCTGTCAAGTAACTTTAAAGCTTAGTTAGCGTGTGTGTCTGTGCGTACATGAAGCTTTAGGGTGTTCCTTTAAGATGTCAGAAACACAATCTCTACTGTTCCTCAGGAAAACAAACACACAAACAAAGAAAGATAAAACAGCAGGTAGAACATAAACAAAATAACAAAAAAAGTAAAGTGCACCCAACGACAGGAACAAGGTCGCCTCTAAAGTCTGTAACCCTGCAGAAGTACTCTGAACTGAAAAGCTGACCCTTAAAGTTAACATGCACCTGTAACCTAGATTCATGGGAGTAAACAACCTAGACTCAGTCCAGCGTTACTTGTACAGCGCCAAAGGTAAACAAGAGAGAGAAAACTAACAGGAGAAAGCATCTGCTGACAGCGGGAAAGAAACTGTCAGAACCAGGGAGGGGCGGGGCCATCAGCCGTGACCAGAACATAACAGCAATGATAGAAAAGTTTCTACAGAAGATCAATACACGTTCCAATATTACAACAGGTGCAACAGGTAAAAGTCAAAATTGCCACAAAACTAAACAGCAAACACGGTTTAAGATAAATTGGCTTCTTCAGCAGTTTAGTAATATATTAATTTAAGATTAAGGAGTGGTTGTTGGGAGAAGCATTAGAGTCCTAATTTAGGCCCACTCTGAAGAAGAACCCCATAATGTAACATGACAGGGATTTTCATCCACTGTAACTCACGCCATCTCTCTGAAATTTATGGTCTCAGATTTCAGGCTGAGATAAACCTAATGACATCATTATGACTTAATCTGGGCTATTCTTCACAAGAGAACCTCGTCCAGTCCAGAACATTTCCACAGTACTGATTGTGGTACTACATAGGATTTAAACAGTGAGTAAAACCAATGGAGGTTACGCACTTAAACGTGAGTTACAGTCCAATCCATACTCACAATCTCCTTAATGTATTTCAATGAAGTTTGTTACTTTACTAATCTATACTGATTTTTTAACACAGGATCGATACGTTCAATGTTACTCTCTTGAAATAGGTAAACATATGCTGGTAGTTTGTTCACTTTGCATAATCATAATAAACCCTTGGTATCAGGCTCTTTACTGATTTGACCAGCTAGCTGCCTGGTCAGCTAAGAGGCTCTGTCCTGTTATAACAGTATCCGCTTTAAAGCTCCACTGGGTTTGGCAGCGTGGCTCACAGACTCTGCTGCAGAGTCCCAGAGAAACAAACACCGACAAATATTAAAATGTTCATTTAAACTTGGGCAACTTGGTGTATTTGAACATTTTTACTTCAAAAAATATCGTTTCTGCTTGAGAAGTCACTCTGTAATGATGACTGTTGATGACAAGAATCAAATCGAACCTGCAGACCGCTTCACAATTGTGTATTAAGACCTCGTCTTTTGTCAGTTTGAATGAATAACCAATATTCGCGTCTTTGGGAACAAGTGAAGCTCATACAGATCAGCTCAGCCCTTCAGTGAATATGATGTGAAAACAATACATGTCTTTCTTTCGACTGACAATGCTGTGAATGGAAGCCTCAGCAGAACCGGGCCAGTCAGAAGCTACAAACTTACTACACGCTGGATAAAAGCCAAGCCACCGAGAAGTCCCCGGGGACCAGCCCGGGCCTCCAACACAGCCGCCATGACAGGGCTGTGTAGCCTCTCTGTAGCTTACAGCAGTAGGCTTTGTCTCCAACGTCATGTGAAGTTTAAACCAATCAGAGGAGCCCCACAAAACTCGTGAAACTACACAAAAAGCTGGAATGAAGGATTGATTTAAAGCTCATCAGATCCAAACTGGTGCCAATATTTTGCAATTAAAAAATCTCATGTAACTATATCTGATGGTTATATCTGAAAAGATCCTCGTTTAATTTCCTATTTCATTTCAAATTCTTTGCTCAGATCAGCAAATAGCTGACATGGTCCAATATATATCGGCCGGGCTCAGTGTGGATGGATATACGAGGCTGTACTTTACTGATATTAAACATTTAATTTTACTTATTCAATTAAAAATACCCTACAAGTAATAAGTTAAATAAAAATCTAATAAATTTTTTTTTTAAGTAAAAAATAAAAGCAATAAGTAAAGCTTTGGGGCGTTCACTTGACATGAGTTACATACATGTTGTTAGATCTCTATAAGCAGCAGGCAGATAATGTCGCGTAGTATAAACACTGGAAACAGGAGGAAGCAGCTAGCTTGTTTGTGGGTCAGGCTAACATTGGTTAGCACCCGTCGGTTTTTGTTTACCTACTGTAGAGGTTTTTAAAGTCGTATTAATCATGTAAACATGCTTGTTCTTTTTTTAGCCAAAACGCAAACAAGCACATCCTGATATTTTGAGTTTTTTGCAGTCATGCTGAAATGTATTGATTTATACTGGTGTACTGGTGAATCACCTCATACTTTATCAGAGACTTCCTAGTTCTGGTTTCTGATACGTGAGCATCAGCTCCTTTTTAAAAAACGAGTTTTCCATGTGATAACAAGCTAAACAGTGTTTATACAGAGAAAACTCGCCTTTCCCACTGTAAAATGTCAGCGTAATTATAAACCTGTGGGTGTTCTCAGTTTGTTTGTATCCTCCTGCAGGTCTGCCTGCCTCAGCCTGTCTTTAAAACCAGTATTTTCCGAAGGCCTGTGTAAGCAGGAGGTCAGTCACAGTGTAATTGACAGT